CCTTTCCCTCATCCATTAAGCAGGTCACCTTGTCACAGAAGGATATCAAGTTGGTCAAGCAGGACCTGCCTACCAAAAACCCATGCTGTCTGGACCTGATTCCCTGGTTGTTCTACATGTCTCATGGGATGGCACTCAAGATGATCTGCTCCATAACCTTTCCCGGTGCCAAGGTCAGGCTGACAGGCTTGTAGTTTCCTGGATGCTCCTTCTGGCCCTTCTTATAGATGAGCATCAAATTTCCCAACCTCCAGTCAACATCCCAGTGGACTGGAGGTTAGAGAGTTGACTCCCAGTTAGCCAGGACTGCTGGTAAATGTTGGAGACTGGCTCGGTGAGCACTTCCACCAGTTCCCTCAGTATCCTTGGGTGGATCCCATCTGGCCCCATAGGCTTGTGTGTGTCTAAGCGATGAGGAAGGTCACTGACTCTTTGTCCTTGGATTTTAGGGGCTCCATTCTGCTCCCTGTCCCTGTCTTTCAGCTCAGGGGGATCAACTGGCCTTACTATTAAAGCCTGAGGAAAAGAAGGGAGTAAGTACCTCAGTCCTTTCCTCATCGTTTGTCACTATGCTTTCCCCCACACCCATTAAAGGATGAAGATTTCCTTAGCCTTCCTTTTGTTGTTGGTGCATTTATAGAAGCATTTCTTTTTTACAACAGTAAAAGTTTACAACAGACTAAGTTCTGCTTGGGCTTTGGCCCTTTCAATTTTCTCCCTACATCACCTCACAACACCCTTGTAGCCCTCTTCAGTTGCCTGCCCCTTCTTCCAAAAGCCATAGAATCCTTTTTTCCTGAGTTCCAGACAAAGCTCTCTGTTGAGACAGAGCCATCACTCAGGTCTCAGCTATTCCCACCTAACCTTGGCCACACCAGGCCCCCTGCAGTCAGCAGAGAAAGACCTGCACCCTCTGGCAATCCTACCTTCCTCCACCAGCTTCAAAAGTCACCTCAGGTGGCCATGGGTCTCAAATACTGCTTTCACTTAAGTGCTTCCACCCAGGTGAGACAAATACCACTTTGGAAAATGTGGTAATGTTTTAAAGCTGTCTGCTTTAAAACCATCCAATTGGCCTCCATAGGAAACAATTTCTTTGTGTGACTTATCTGAAGAGCTACTCCCCCTCTTCTTTGCACCTCACTGCAGGAATATTTTGAGTAGTCTGTGCTCAAATTCGGATTAAAAAAAAAAGATTATCAGCTCTGGTTCAGCACAAAGGTTTAGTGAACAACTTTCACCATATCCTGCATTGAAATGTACACTTATGGCTAATTCTGAGCTGAAGTGGGACTGACACTGGGAAGAACAAACTGGGCTGCTGAAGACCCCAGCAGTCTGCATTGCCATGGAGAGCATGGGTTTTGGCCAGCACCACAGTTTTTGAAGCACATCCCTAACTTCATGAAATCACATGCAAAACTGTGGGAACACTGTCTTCAGGAAAAACAAGCAAGAGCTCAAGGAAGCTCAAGACACTTTGAAAAAATTCCTAAATTGCAATTTAGGGATAGGAGGATGTGGTGGGACACAAAAGGCCAGGACGGATGTTCTATGAAGACAGTACAAAAACAACTGTCTAACAAGAAATGAGAACAGGAAAGTCAGCATTTGCACAGAGCCCAGCTACAGGCAATAATCCAATTTACAGGGAAGTAAGATGCTGATGGCGACCTTGCCAAAAACCCAGCTTTCCAAAAATAGTACTGACAAATGAGTAGTGCAAAAATAAGGAGCTAATCAGCAACAATAAGAAGAGAGACAGAAAGTTTGTCTCTCCGCAAAAGGTAAATTATGCACTATAAGAATGACATCCATCCATTTCAAATCAGTATCCAGGGACTTGTAAATCAGTGAACAGAATAGGAAAAATTATTACACTCACCCTATTTTTTCCCAAACCTGCCCAAATTTTATGATAATTAACAAGTTGTTGCTGTAAATACCTGCTCTTGCATTTTTCCTCCATTTGGTACTTTAAATAGGGTGCAAAAGCTCTGAGTCCAGCCCTTCTCACCGGCACACACTCCAGATAGAGACCTGAAGGATACTGTGATGGCCCCCGCTAAAGTGGTTAATGACACTGGCTGGGGACAAGGAGTAATGCAGATTCCATTCTGGGCAGTACTTAGGACTGTCCCCATGCAATCCTGTGTCACTCTGCAGGCAACTCAGCCAAATCTCACCATCTTTGCCTTCAGCATTAGCAGATCAAGCAACACTCAGGTAGACTGAGCAATACTTGTGATCATCTGCCTTTTTATCATCACCCAGAAGTGATCCTCCACTGTTGCCACCAATTCTCTCTGGTTTGTAACCAAATAAGCACAGACAGGAAATTTCTGGGATTATGAGAGTTTGCTTATCACACAGTCTAGTCCTCTGCAAAATTAAGCACTGGATAGTCATTAATCTCCAGACATGACAGACTTGAGAAACCTTTAAGGCATGAGTCCATTCAACTTCTCTGTGAGAGATGCCAAAAAAACATACATCAGGTATAGACTTCTTTATAACCACAAAGATCAAAGATCCAAAGCAGTGATCAAAGCACAAAGGGCTCACAAAACCTAATTCCCTCCAGGAACATCGTTAGCATTCGGGAGAAGCAGCGTGTTCCCTTGAGGATCCTACACATGTGCCTGACAGTTAAGCTCTTCCCAAACAAACTCAATTTTATTCACAAAGTAATAATTTCTTCATGCAATGGAGAGATCTGAATCAGCTGCTTAACGAAGGCATCTCACAGAAAGCAAAGCCAGAGACTGGGACACGCTCTGAAGCTTGTGCCACTTCACAACCTGATGAAACAACTTCTCTGCTTGGGACTGTCAAGGTCCTTACTGAATGTCTAAGTTGGATCTGATTGTCTCCAAAGTAATTATAGAGGCAATAGAAAGAAACAAGGGACTCCAGCTGGTGGCACAGCCTATCTTGAAATGTTTCTATCATTATCTATTTATAGTTGTGATCCAGTCATTAAGCAGGAGTGACTTGCTGTCTCTACATACACCTATTAATGAACATTGCTCCTCTTCTTTTTACCTGGCCCTTACACATGTAGCCTTCCCCGCACCACTGAGAGTAGCCCTTTACCTTCAACCATAAGAGATTTGCCACAACATCTTGAAGCCCTAACAGCAGAAGAAAATACCCCTTGCTTTAAGCCTCTCAAGTAAACAGTGATACTGGTATTTGGCATGGTGTTTGTCTGAGTGAAATACAAGGTGAAAGATAATTCATGCTTTAGGTAATTTGGTGCCAAATCACTTAGAGACCCATAAACTAGACTGACAACCTGCTTCTGGGGTCCTGTTGCAAGAGATAAACCTCACCGTAACCTTCCCTTTTCTTTGCAATAATGCTCCTACAATAGCTCTGCAGAAGTCTTCTTGCACCTGTCTTGTTAGATTACCTAAAGGCTCCCATATTCTGCCTGAAAGATTGTGACAAATTGCACTGCATCCAGTATGTCCAAGACAGAGAAAAATGTATTTCCAACCACTCTGGCCATGCAATTGAGACTAGCCCAAATTTTTAAATATAAGCATATCAACAGGTTTTCCATCTCCTGTGTCAGCAGATCACCTGAGACTAGTGTATCCATTATAGCATGAGCAGATGTGCATACAAATACTGGCTTAAGCTGTTGAGCAGCCATCAAAATGCTGCTTTTGGCAACCTACTTGCTTTCTCTGGGGCAGCTAAAAACCTGCCTTGTCTGATCATCCAAGAAATTAAGAGGGACCTTGCTGCTCTGTGCAGAGGAAGCCCTGCTGCCTGCTCCATTCTCTCCACGTGGCCCCACTGTGATGTGTGGGAGGAGGGATCCTCCCTTTTCCACCATCACTTTGTAGCAGAGGACTGGGAGTATGCTCTTGGCCTATAAACTAGAACCCGTATTCTCACTGTAATCTCCTTGTCCACCCCTCCCAGGCAGTGATTGCATGTTACAGTTCAGTGACAGTCCAAGCACAGGCAGTTCTCTCCAGAATCAGTGCTCCCCACAGCCTAAGCACCCACATGAGTGTGACACCTCTGTTCTTCTCACCCTCTCAATCACAGGTAAGGACATATCTGTCTTCATTTTCTCTGGGGCTCTATCCCTGAGGCAGGGCCCAAATTTTTGAGCTGCCAGTCAATGGGTCAGCTCTGCTGAAAGCAGCTTAATGGTGAATTGCAGGTGTCCCATCAGCTGGTCTGTATGCAAGAGAGTATGGTGGCTGCTGAGATGTACAAGGTTCAAAAGCAAGCAAAGCTGAAGAAAACGCACTGCGAAGGGACTGCTGAGTTGATATGAGTTATCAACAGTTTAAAACAAAGGAGGGAAATCATCAGACATTCAAACAAAAGGCAGGACAAGGACAAGGTGTAAAAACCCTAAAAGAAGCAGCAGTAGCAGGAAGGTGCAGAGGTCAGCCCTTCCCTGCCTGCCTGCAGTTGTCTGGTCAACGAAGACCCACTGGGTGATGGTGCAGGGCTGGTGAGGGTATTTAGGCTTACCCAGAAAGAATGAGGCTTATATAGTCTGTTTTTCTGTGTCCTACCGCCTTTCATGGGTCTGTCTCATCTGGAAGGCTACATTTTCCATAATCCACTGCTTACCCTATATGAAAGGTGGAAGGCTGGTGCGTGGCAGAAGACACAGTTCAGCCACTGAACTTGGCCATCCATAAGAAAGAACATGACCACCAGGAATTCAAATTCAGCTCACAGTTGGGATCCTCAAGCATGAATTATCTTTTGAAAATCTAGGCCCTTATTATCAGAAACCTTTTTTAAAAATGCAAAAACTCATGACTTCTGGCACTAGGCAAATTCATGACAGTTACCCACACTGTACAACCAGATGGTGAAATACATCTAAGTAGTGCAAGAAAGTTTCAGAATAACACAATGCTCCCCAAGTGTCTTCAAGCTCTACTGGGATTTTATTAGGTTTCCTGAAAAAATGAGAAAAGCTTTTCAGGAACTGAACTAGCAGGTCTTAGCACCAAGCTTCACATGTCTTCAAACAGATGCTCAGTTGCCAGCTTTTGTCCTCCTTCTTCATACATTGGGGAAGTGATGGCAATGATCTCCTTTTCCAGCATTTCCATCAGAACCCTAATGTCTGACACAGTGCTTTTCACAGCATGCAGATGCAGTTTCAATTTATTGTAATCTTCTTGGAAGGATCTGTTCACATCATAGAGATTCTGACAGCCCTGTTTCTCCCTAGGGAGATGATTCATTTTCAGGAAGATGTGAAAGAGCTCACATAAATCCTGGAGAACGTGGAGGATTTCATATTCACCCTGTGCCCTTGGTGCTGACTCAGTCTTATTCTGGGTTGAGCTGATGCTCTTCTTTTTACCTTCATGTTCCTGCTGGAGGACTGGGCCAGGGTTACCTTTTTCCACAGCTATGATAGTGTTCTTCTGAAGATCTGAGGTGGCATCTTTGCTCTCTTCATGGACCTTCATGGCTTTTTGGTCTTTCCAGGTGACAGGGACTGTTTTAGTCTCCTGCTGGTAATCCTCTAAGACTTTATTCTGTTCCTGGACTGCCTGGAGGGCTTTGTGACCTGGGTTGAACTGAAAGCCTATGGTCCTCTCTTTGAAGAAAGGAAATGGCTTATTTTCATTCTGGAGGCTTTGCTGCATAGCATTAGTGTAAATAACCTGGATGGCTTTATTCTGTGACTGGAGACATTGTAGAGCCTTATTTTCTTCCCAGAGCATCCTGTTTTTGATCTGGAGGACTTGGTTTTTCTGCCAGAGTACTCTGTTCTCTTCCCGGATGCTCCACTCATTCTGTGCCTTCTTGCTAAAGAGTTTTAGTTGGGAAGGAAAGTGTGGCTGGCAGTAGATCTCATTCACCCATTTACCATCTATAAAGACCAACATTTCATCCCTCGGTTTCATCTGGGGGGTGATATAGTCTATCTCAGGCTCTGTACACTGCATGCTCTGGTTCCTCAGATCAAAAGCAGACATGGTCTTTCTTTAGTAAATTGAAGAGGATTGTGTGAAAAGGCTTCTTCCAGGACTTCTGCAAGATGCCACTGTCCACTGGCAAGGAGTAGGTGACACAGTGGAGCTGGAGAAGCTTAATCAGAACTGAAAGAACAGGGAACACAAATGCATAGACTTACTGCCAAAATTCCAGGTCAGAATCAAAATACATTGAATGACAGGAACAAGCAAATAAATCAGATCTCACAGTCGATTGTGTTGCCCCATTGACACTGAAAGGTAAGGAACACACCAGAAACTATTTTATAGATGTTGAACCAGTTAGCATTGTCAGATAAAGCAGATCTATGGCAGCACCACAAACTTTGATATAAACACCTGGACCTTCCCTTTGTCTCTCTACCTCATTTTTACAGACTTGTAAACTAGTAAAATGCAAGAAGGTCCTTTGCTTCAGAATAGCCTGTTCCCAAATGACTGACAGTCAAATGAATTAAAAATTGCTATAAGGCTAAAACCAGCTTTTCAAAGTAAAACATTTTTAAAGGATCACAGAGAAAAACTGGCCTCAAAAGCAGCTTTTTCTTGTTGATGCTGAGTAGCCTGTGTTAACAGGACACCACAAAAATGCAGTGGCAGTTTTTCTTTTTGATCTCAAACTCTACAGAACTGTGAACAAGAAGAGCACTGAGTGATACACTATGCACAGATAATTAAAACTCCAAACCACAGCCCTGGGACATCAAGACTGACACAGCTTTGTTGCTCTTTGCATGTTTTTCTGACAAGTTCCCATCACGGTGGTCCAAAACCTGTCACAACCCATAGATAATTCTCCATCTTTCATTCTCATTTCTCCCATCACTCTTTTCTTTATATCCTTTGATAGCTCTGTTATTTTTCTTGCTTTCTAGCCCTGCAATAGTGATTGCTTATCTTTTTCCTACAGTCCATCTGCCTCTTTTTCACATCATCAGAAAACTCATCTCTAAAATCCATACTGCAGGGCTGCACCTCTAATGCTTCTCATTTCAGTCACAGAAACCTCAGACTTATCTGCTCAACACTCTTCCCCCTTCCCTGTACCCAAAATGTTGCAGTTTAAATCACCTTCTAGCCATGAGTAAACCTGGGCAAATGAAGGATTTCAGTCTTTTATGTGGAAAAAAAAAAAAGCAGCCAACCATACAATCAAAAATGTTTTGTCCAAAAGAAAGCCTATTTACTGCAGGTTTTACCAAAATTAAATTTGTATGATTTTCAGTTATTTGAACTGAAGTTGAGCCATTTGTTATAACCAAATTGTTGGAATTCTTAGGGTTTCTGCACAGTGTTTCTAACAGCACAGATGTGCTCTTTCCTAGTTGTGTTTTTTTTTATAAAAAAAAGAAGCTCATTGTTAAATTTCACTCAGGTCTGCCCCTCTCCCCTGGCTAAGGTCCCCCAGCTGCCCTCCTGTCCCTTGGGAGACTCAGTTCTGCCTTTCTGCCTGTGAGGAGAGTTTTACCTTCACGAATCTTGCCCTCATGTCTCTACCCCAAGCATTAAGCATGGGCTGACCACCATACACAAGCTCCTCATAGCCTCCAGCTCTACCATCACATTGTGCACCCCCTGTCCTATTGTTGTCCTCTCTTTTCCAAAACCTGCTGCTCCCCCATTTCCATGTCATCTCCACCACACAGACTGCATCTCTGGGTTCCTCCAGGTTACTTCCAAGAGTCAACATCCATAGATGCATCCTTAGCCTCTTTTCAAAGCTCTTCCAAAAGCTCATAAAATTATTGTTTCATTGAAAATTCAAAATTCCTTAATGTAGGAAAGGGCTATTGCAATATAGGTCTGTTTGCAGTAACACTTGATTTTATTACAATCCAGTTTCTGTCTGACTTCCAGGGTTGTCTTCCGCCTGCTGCTTTATCCCACATGAGACTGTTTTCTCACATCATTCCTCTGTTAAAAGGGATTTCCCCAAAAACTCCCAGTTTTGGAGGTTTTTATTACCACTTACACCATGTCTAGAGCCATATATTGCTTCCTCCCTTGCACCCTTTCCCCTCCAGCCTTTCCAACCCATCCCATTCTGTTGGGGTGCCCAGTCCCATTGTTTCCCCCAGCAATCCCAAGATGGGAGAGCAAATCAGCCACAGGGTAACAGACCCCTAAATATCCAGAGAAGATGCAGAAAACATCCAACATCATAAACCCAGACCCACCTGCCGCTGCGTATCATGGTCAAGCAGCTAGAGTTGTTAAAGTCACTTACAGTTAAAGTGTTTAGGTGGCATATTTTCAGGATAAACAGAAATGCATAATATATACAGCTTTGAAGGACATCATCTTGGGGCAATTAAACTTGACAGTGGCTCTGTCAGCTCTTTTGCACTGCAGAGGAGACAGTGACCCAAGCTTCAGAAAGATGCTTCAAGTTCTCCCACCGCCCGTATAATTTTTCCCCCATCTCTGAGTAATTCCAAGAAATGCTGAACAGCTAGGATGGATGGGCAAGGTAGCCAGCTGGGGGGAAGACACAAAATCAAGACAGGCTGGGCAATTTGGGAGCACTAAATCTCACATCTGGCACATGCTCACCTGCTCACAAGGGCCTGTGGTCTTCTCTCTCCTCACAGTAGAGCCAAGCAGCCTGGTCTGAGGTCTTGCTGAGGTCAGGGTGTCCGGGGGGGCAGGGGTGCACAGCAGGGGACAGAGGGGACCAATGGTGATGTGAGCACTGGCAGGGACCAGCCACCAGCCTGCCTCCACCAGGGACTGCACACCCTCTTTGCGCAGCTCACTTCTGTCTTCCTTCCCTGCTGTCCTCCCAAGATTATATCTGATTTTTCCCAGCATTGCTCTTTTGGGTTATTTCTCATGGAAATCAGCTTTCTGGTAGCTCAGCTCTCATGCCCTTTCCTGAACCCTGACTTCCCGATCTGCCTTTGATGCTCATAACTGAGAGTCCTTTGGATGGATTCTTCCTCCATCACATCCTCTTAAAACAAATTTTGTTTTTATTCTGAATCTTCAAATTATATTTGTTGCTGGACTCATCTTGATGCATTCAAAAATCACTTTCTCATATCCACTATGAGAGTTGAAGTTTTTTTCCAAGGACAACATGGGTTTGGAGTTTTTCTTTGACTGTAAGTTTAAGAGCAGACTATCACTGAACCCTATTAAGAAGAAAATAGAATATGCAGAGCACTCATGCATTGCAACTTTAGACATTATTTGTAGCAGCTATTCCCACTTCCATGTCTTTACACTTCTAATGATCTCATTCTCTTTCTTATTTGCTACATCTTTCAGATGTGGATTTTTTTTTCTAATCAGTGCTCTTGAATAATAAATACAGCAGTTAATTTCTTTTCCAGTGAAAATTACCAAGTTGACACCAGCCTCAAGGTGACTGTTATTGCTTTAGGAAGTTGAAGGTACAGTTCAGCTCTGGTGTTATATGAAAATTATGAACTCAGGTATAAAATTCTTCTCTGTAATTTCTCCCTTGATTACATTTAATCTTAGACAACAAAAAAAACCCCACACAGGTTACTATGGTGACTCCCTAGGGAACATTCTTCTTTACTGGAGCTCCAGGATCCTGTCCAGGAAAACAGAAAAATGTCCTGAAAAGAGAAATTAAAATATTTTATCATGCGGTGCTTGTGCTTGGCCCACCATCAGATAGGAATTTTAAAGGTGCTACCAGTGCAATCAGTTTTCAGGAGAGGTGACTGAAATGACCAATCTGAACTTTGGAAGAACTGAGGCTGTGGACACTCAAACAGACCTCTGATAAACATTTTAAGGTCTAAGAGCTGAGTAGAAACAGTGTTAATAGAGACAAGTGCAGCATGTGACTTATCAGTGGACAAAGCCTGCTTAATCCAGAGCCATGGAGAACTAAGTTGGCAGTGTACCTTCACCTTTTCTTAAGCAACATTTCCATAATGTTGGGTAAAGATCTTCCGGCAAGTGATTTCTTTGCTGAAAATCATGAATTCGAATGCCAATATATTTGGAACAAACTTAGTGAGTATCATCAGATGTGTTTACGTGTGCATCAGAATTGGAAATGCTGCAACAGCTCACTGCAGAGTTTTTTATAGCAGCTACACTGATTTTTGAGCTGGACTCTCAAAAGGACTGAGATGTCATTCACAAGATTACAAAGGCAGAAATAATGCTGAGTGTGTTCCCCTCCCTGCCGAGAGACAAGTAACCTCTGCTCTATAAGGAGGGTTTGAACTAACATCCCAGCTGAGTTCTTTGTCCACAGCTTCAGACTACTCAATTTCTCCAAGATGTTTCACTACACAAAGAATTAAATACTAATTGGAACCAAAGCCATATTCCACATCCTACCTGCACACCTTATAACAAGCTGTTCAGCTGACTTTGCTGTCCTTGGAGGTTATCTGGTTCTGCAAAGGATCCAGTGGGAGAGAGTGGATGAATCCAGACACATTCATATAATATTCTCCGTGCTGGGATGCAAGAAATCACCATCCAGTGATAGGCTGAAAACAGGGGGGAAAAGCAAGGTCTGAAATGCTGCCATGAAGACTTTGCAAGAAGGACCCTGGAGACCCCAACCCAGCCTCGCCCTATTGGAAATTCAGTAAAGTTCAGCCCTTTCCTTTCATTGCTTTTGGGTTTAGAAGAGCTGTTAAAGTTCTTGCAATCAAAATAATCTGGGGTGGGTTTTTTTCATTAAAAGCATAATGCTTCTTTGAATTTGGAGCATCTTCTCTCTTTTTCTATTTTGTGTGCTATAGTCCCATATCTTTACTTGATAAAATCAAAGGTGTCTGCTGCCACTTTCTACCATCCCAAACACATTTGTGCTTCTGAAATGCCATCCTCTGTTCTTGTCAGCACAGGCTGGTCTCACCACACACTCATCCACTGTTCTCTAGGGCATTAAGCCTGGATGCAAATCCCACTCAGTCACTAAAAAGACTTCTGCACATTTGAGTGCTCTTGAATTATCTCTTGACCTCAATAACTGGAGAGGAAGT